TTTAGAGGAAATATTTTGTAATAGTAATTGAACTGATATTTATGATTATATCGTGAAACCTTTTTCCTAACAAATCGAGCAAAGATTGAAAAGAATTCTTAAAGGATTGTAAAAATGTGTATATCTATGAACAGAGTTGATTCATAATGTAATGATTTATACATTTTAGACAAATATTTTGTATAGTAATTGAACTGAATAATAGGTGATATCTACGATTATATCGTGAAACCTCCTTTTTTTAACAAATCGAGCAACGATTGAAAAGAATTCTTAAAAGATTGTAAAAATGTATATATCGTGTCTATGAACAGAGACGATTCATAACGTAATGATTTATATATTTTAGAGAAATGTTTTATATAATAATTAAATAATAGGTGATATCTATGATTATATCTCTTTTTCCTAACAAATCGAGCAAAGATTGAAAAGAATTCTTAAAGGATTGTAAAAATGTGTATATCGTGTTTATGAAGAAAATGAGCAAAAATTTGTAAAGTAACGATTTATAAAGTACATTTTAAAGGAAATATTTCATATAATAATTGAACTGAAAATAATAGATATCTACGATTATATCGCGAAACCTTTTTCCTAAGAAATCGAATAGAGATTGAAAAAGAATTCTTATGAATTGTATATCATAAAAATGTGTATATCATATCTATGAACAGAGACGATTCATAACTTAATGATTTATATATTTTAAAGAAATGTTTAGTAATTGAATTGAAAATAAGTGATATCTTGTTCTACGATTACATCGTGAATAACGTAACAAATCGAGCAAAGATCGAAAAGAGTAAAGATTGTGAAAATAATATATCGTGTCTATAGAAAATAAACAAAGAGTCGACTCGTAACGTAACGATTTATATGTAAAATCTCTTTTTCCTAACAAATCGAGTAAAGATTGAAAAAGAATTACGAATTGTAAAAATGTGTACATTGTCTAAATGTTTAAATGCTTCGTATCGATTGAACTGAAAATAATAGCTGACGCTAGTTGTTCTACGATTATATCGCGAATAACTGTCCCCTTTTCCCTAACAAATCGAACAAAGATCGAAAAGATTGTGAAAATATGTATATATCGTGTCTATGATAATCTATGATAATATATGATAATATATCTACGATAATATATCTAGAAAATGAGCAAACTGTCGTTTCGTAACGATTTCTACATTTTAAAGGAAATGTTTCGTATGATAATTGAACTGAAAATAATAGGTGATACGTTCTTCTACGATTATATCGTGAAACCTCTTTTTCCTAACAAATCGAGTAAAAATTTAAAAAGAATTCTTACGATTTTTAAAAATGTATATATTAATTATATACATATAAATATAATATAAATATATTAATTATATATAATTATATAAATGTATATATCTAAATGTTTAAATGCTTCGTATCGATTAAACTGAAAATAATAGCTAACACTAGTTATTCTACTATCATATCGTGACGCCTCCTTTTCCCTAACAAATCGACCAAAGAGTGAAAAAAAATTCTTACGAATCATAAAAATGTGTATATCGTGTTTATGCTAGAGAAAACAAGCAAAGATTCATAATTCAACAGTTTGTACATTTTAGAGAGAAATGTTTCGTGAAAAATCCTCTCGTATCGTAATTAAATAATAGCTGGTATTACGCGTATTACGCGAGGCTCCATTACGCAGTGCAGTCATGTGAAGTATGGTTGTCCCCGGACAGGTTCGTTTAAATGGGACTTGCACGATACATATACGCACGTTTCAATACACGGTATTCGCCACCGTGAGAGGATTTTTAACACCACGAGTGTTTCGCATTTTACGCGCGGAATTATAAGTACAACGAGGAGGAACGTAATGCGATTGGACCATTCGAGATAATCGCGTTTCATCGCGCGAATCACGCTCCAAGTGCCTTGATATATATCCCTTATTAATCGTAAATTAATTCGGCTCAAGGCTAGACTAAGAGGATCGAGAGCTATCGCAATTTTCCTCGAGACGAACCGCTCCTCTTCGAACACGAAAACCAAGGGTGAGAAAAGAAAGAAAGAAAGAAAAAAAATTTTTCTTTCGATCGATTCACGAAAATGTTTACGACAGTTCGAAACGAGAGCGTTAATTAAACGCGAAATTGAATTAAAAAAAAAAAAAAGATGTCGCCTCCAACAATTGATCCTCCTCTTTTTCCTTCTTTTTTTCTTTTCTTTTCTTTCAAAAAATTGCACAGCAACGGCGTAGCGATGAAAATGGTTACCTCGACGAATGAACTTTCCACCGCGCTTTTCCGCGCGCTTGGGCACGCACCGTGTCGAAACAATGGGAAACAAAATAGCGTACTCCCTCTCTCTCTCTCTCTCCCTCGTTTCGCATTCCCCTTTCTCTTCTCTTTGTGTTTCGGCTCGTGCGTTTATTACGCGCAGAACAGAAGAAAGACGTTGACACGCGAAAGGTCTTAGGGGAGAGGATGAAAGCTCGCCAGAGAATAATTTTACGAACGGCCGAGTATTGAACGGACCGGTGGTCTATTATTAATCGATAATTAGCAGATCGGCCAACGATCTCCCCTAACAATTAATCCTTCCCTCCGTCCCTCCGCCCATCCCTCCTGATAATGAAAGTTTCAGGATATATATAGTTCCAAATCGCATATATACTCGATATACGAATATACAGGTCTGCGAATACTCTCGATCGATCGATCTACCGAAAATTACATCAACCAAAATAGTAAACAATTTTGTATACAAAACGCGAATATAAAAATATATAAATATATTATAAAATCAAATTCGTCGTCTGAAAATTTGAATCTGACATGATTGACCGAGGATCCACCCTTTAATTATCCCTCGTTAATAAATCGTAGCCGCGTAATAACTAGCCTCGCACCGACCGATTATCGGCCGATTATCCCCGACTCTCTCTCTCTCTCTCTCTTTCTTCTTTTTCCCTAGCAAGTTTCCACCGCTCGTTTCGACTCGACTCGACTCCACTCGATTCGAACTTTCGTAGCAAGGAGAAATCCGATCGAGAAGTTCGACGGTTCATTCCCCATTCGATCGGCGTCGTCCGCGACGACGTACACGCCTAGGCAGAGCACGGAGAGCTATGCGGTTGCGACGAGCAGGTAAGCGAATTTCTGTCCAAGAAAAGGGGGAGAGTGCAACCAACCACGCTTCGACACGGTTAACAACCTAACATCGAACCTAACACCGCCTAGCAATCGCCAGTAACATCCCGACGACTTTGGATTTGGGACGAGAGGGGGGGAAGGGAGCGCGATCGATGAGAGCAAACGGGTTCGAGCATTGTTCCATCCAGATTATTGCGTCGCAGATTATCGAGCCTTATCATCGACCGAGTTTTTCAAGCTATCTCGATTTCGCAATTTCGAAAGTTAATATCGAACTCGATGCCGTCCCAACCCCCGTTATCGCCGAATCTCTCTCTCTCTCTCTCTCTCTCTCTCTCTCTCTCTCTC